CCGCAGCGCGCCACGTGGGCTCCGCAGGACTAAGCTTTAACGGGAAACAGACGCTCCGGACACTGGCCTTTCTTTTGGTCTGGATGACACAAGATTGGGCTTTACGCAGGGCGGGACGGGCAGAGATGGGACATTGGACACCCAGGGGCAGCCGCACCGCAGTCTCCCGCGTGTGGATCCGTGAAGACTTTCCTCCTTATCCCACGAAAGAACATGGTTTCCACCCGCAGCATTATTATGCATGTATTATATTACCCCATATATACATGTTTTACAACTTTGTCACTCAATATTGTATTTTGGGGATGTGCCCACGTTGAGACTTAGCTGAGGCATTTTTCATAGTGTTTCTTCTGGAGGCAGGAAAGAATGGGGGACAAATGCCTCAAGCCCTGCCCCTCCCCCTTTCCGTCTTGGCTGGGACAGCCACCTTTATCGACCCCTGTTCCCCGAATTCCCCTTCCCCAGTTTTCCGTAATTGAGACAAAACCGGCCTCACCCAGATTTGGCAGCCACACTGACCTAAAAGTGACCAAGAGGGCCATTAGTATATCTTTATAATAAATTTGCATTATGGTTTTGGGACCCCACCCCTCCCCAGAAGCCCCATGACAATTCCTGGAGGACCAAAAAGGAAATAGCTATCTGGAGAGGAGAGACAAGGATGAGCTGCACGGGAGTTACCCGAGGGGCGTGGGAAGCTAAGGGCCACCCTTTCTCCCCCTTGCCCACATTTGATAAAAACCTTGCACCCAGACCTCGTTGGGGCCTCTAATTCTCTGAGGTTGCCCGCCCTCACTTCTCGAGTGCATCTTATTGCTGTAGTACATTTACTGTGCTTTGCTTGATTTTTTCTGCCATGCTCTCAAATTCTTTGTTCTGTGACAAGAACCTGGACTCCGGTATCTGGCTGAGGCCTTCCTTGGCATCTTCTTGTTATGATTCCAGAATCTAAGGAGCATAGTGCTGCAGCTAAAAGAAGAGAAGAGAGAGGGGTAGGCTAAATGTTTCACTCAATATTATATTTTGGGGACTTGTCCATGTTGAGGGGTATGTGGGTATATATCTATGTCTATGTCATCTATATCTAACCTCCCTCCAGCTCATTAATTTTAACTTATAGCACTGTAGTATGTGGATATATCACAATTTTGTCATTCTTCTGTTGAACTTCTAAGTTCTTTTCATGTGCTTATTGGCCATTCGTACATCTTTTTCAGTAAAGTGTCCATTCAAATCTTTTGCTCATTTTTAAATTGAGTTGTTTATCTTATTATTGAGTTTTAAAAATTTCTTATAAAATCTAGGTTGTTTGCGAAGGACAGGACCTTGAAAATAGCTATTAGAGTTAGTTTCTAGTCTGACCACCTTTGTGTGAGAGTGAAATGAAGCAGAGATAAGACAACCTCAGTGTTTGATCACTATTTATTGTTAATTTTAATGCAACCCAGTTATCTGAAACAAATATGTTATAATTAAACCAAAGAACTATACAGTAGTGACATATAGTCTTCCTTTCCCTCTGGGTATAAAGGATATTTTCCTATGTGGAAAGGCCAATGAACTGTAGAAATAGGTTGGCACCATTGCATTTCCATGCTATTGCTCTTCCAAAGTTGTTTTTTTTTTTTAACCTGGAGCAAATTCTTAGGAGTAAGGGGCCAACATCTGTCTTGCTGAAACCAAGTCAGAGCCTTCATTTGAATCTATTAATCCTGAACTGGCCCATTCCTGCTGTTTAAGAAATAATGCTCTCACTCACTGGCTAGGGAGAAAGAAGCACCTGGTGCCACTTTTTAATGCCTCTGTAGCTTACTGATGAAAGATGCACCCCAGAATAAGGGCTTGGTGGTTTTGATAAACTGAGAAACTTCCAACATTACATCTTTGCTTTTACGGTCTTCTTTCTGCTACCATTCAGTGTGGGACACACCAAAAATTATGGTCCACATTGCTGTAAGAGAAGCTTTGGCTCCAGAACTGGTAATGCATTTGGTAGAAATTTTTGCTTTTTAGAGATGCAGGCTTAGTTTGGCATAAATAATGAATAATGAACTCTGAAAAAGACACCTCAGCTAAACCCCAAGCTCCGTAAATGCTTGCACTGTTCTTCCAAATTTAGTCCCACACATTATTTATTAAACTCAGGATTTCCTAACAATGTAGTCCATAAACCCTACATTCTTTGGAAGGAACCCAATAACTAGGAATAGAGTACAGTTAAATGAAAAAGAAAGAAACAAATACATTAACTTTTAGAAAGAAGCTTTATAATAAGTTGCTTGTCTGTTATAGTTTCATATTTTTTAAGTTGCTACTTGAGTTAATTTCACTTTATTTATTATTCCTCACTAGAATCAACACCTCTGCTCTTGGACATATTCATAGAGTGGAGTGCTTCCAGCTCCACAGTTATCTCCTTTTCTCTGATAATGATAGGCATCTTGTCTATTATCCTCCTTGGAAATTAACAATGTATTGGTTGTGTTGGATCTAGGCTGACTATAATAAGAGTGTGCAAATTGTCCAAAGCCACAACTTGAGGAGCTTTCTGCTGAAAGCTCTCCATGAATACTCTCACATCTATCAGACTCACTACTACTTTCTTTTTGGTTGTACCCTGACCATTCCTGGCTATTTCTTCTTGATTGATTTGGGGTTGAACCTATTTTGGGTTCACTGTACTCATCATGAGTACCACTTGAAATTGACCCAGATCTCTCTTGTAATTCATGTTGCTCATCGTTAGGAAACCAAACAGACACAAAGCCACACTGTTCAGAGCTAGGTGAGTGACATGATCCAGACCCATATTGTTCGGTGCTAGATCCCGAACCACATTGTCCATAGCTAGGTGAGTAACATGAGCCAGAACCATATTGTTCAGTGCCAGAACACTGACCGGATCCCAAACCATATTGTCCATAGCTAGGTGAGTGACATGAGCCAGAACCATATTGTTCAGTGCCAGAACACTGACCAGATCCCAAACCATATTGTCCAGAGCTAGATGAGCTACATGAGCTAGACCCATATTGTTCGGTGCTGGAATACTGATCAGATCCCAGACCACATTGTCCATAGCTAGGTGAGTGACATGAGCCAGAACCATATTGTTCAGTGCCAGAACACTGACCAGATCCCAAACCATATTGTCCAGAGCTAGATGAGCTACATGAGCTAGACCCATATTGTTCGGTGCTGGAATACTGATCAGATCCCAGACCACATTGTCCATAGCTAGGTGAGTGACATGAGCCAGAACCATATTGTTCAGTGCCAGAACACTGACCAGATCCCAAACCATATTGTCCAGAGCTAGATGAGCTACATGAGCTAGACCCATATTGTTCGGTGCTGGAATACTGATCAGATCCCAGACCACATTGTCCATAGCTAGGTGAGTGACATGAGCCAGAACCATATTGTTCAGTGCCAGAACACTGACCAGATCCCAAACCATATTGTCCAGAGCTAGATGAGCTACATGAGCTAGACCCATATTGTTCGGTGCTGGAATACTGATCAGATCCCAGACCACATTGTCCATAGCTAGGTGAGTGACATGAGCCAGAACCATATTGTTCAGTGCCAGAACACTGACCAGATCCCAAACCATATTGTCCAGAGCTAGATGAGCTACATGAGCTAGACCCATATTGTTCGGTGCTGGAATACTGATCAGATCCCAGACCACATTGTCCATAGCTAGGTGAGTGACATGAGCCAGAACCATATTGTTCAGTGCCAGAACACTGACCAGATCCCAAACCATATTGTCCAGAGCTAGATGAGCTACATGAGCTAGACCCATATTGTTCGGTGCTAGAATACTGATCAGATCCCAAACCACATTGTTCTGAGCTAGAACACAGACCTGAGCCAGATCCATGTTGACTGTAGTGACAGGCAGATCTGTGTTGGCCACAGCTAGAAGGCTGACTCCATCCAGATCCAGACTGACCATGGCTATAAGACTGACCTGATCCAGACATGGGTTGGCCATAGCTGGAAGATTGATCTGATCCAGATGCATGCTGACAACGGTTTGATGACTGACCTGAAACGGAGCCATGCTGTCCATAGCTAGAGGATTGACCATATCTAGATTCATGCTGTCCAGAGCCTGATGACTGACCTAAACCAGATTCATTCTGACCACAGGCGGAAGACTGACCTGATCCAGATCCATGTTGGCTATGGCTAGAAGATTGACTTGAGCCAGACCTGTGTTGGCCATAGCCAGAGGATTGACCTGATCTAGACCCATGTTGTTCATAGCTAGAAGACTGGCCTAATCCTGATCCATGTTGTCCATAACTGGAAGACTGACCTGAGCTAGTTCCATGTTTCCCAAAGCCAGAAGACTGACTTGAGCCAGACCTGTGTTGGCCATAGCCAGAGGATTGACCTGATCTAGACCCATGTTGTTCATAGCTAGAAGACTGGCCTAATCCTGATCCATGTTGTCCATAACTGGAAGACTGACCTGAGCTAGTTCCATGTTTCCCAAAGCCAGAAGACTGACTTGAGCCAGACCTGTGTTGGCCATAGCCAGAGGATTGACCTGATCTAGACCCATGTTGTTCATAGCTAGAAGACTGGCCTAATCCTGATCCATGTTGTCCATAACTGGAAGACTGACCTGAGCTAGTTCCATGTTTCCCAAAGCCAGAAGACTGACTTGAGCCAGACCTGTGTTGGCCATAGCCAGAGGATTGACCTGATCTAGACCCATGTTGTTCATAGCTAGAAGACTGGCCTAATCCTGATCCATGTTGTCCATAACTGGAAGACTGACCTGAGCTAGTTCCATGTTTCCCAAAGCCAGAAGACTGACTTGAGCCAGACCTGTGTTGGCCATAGCCAGAGGATTGACCTGATCTAGACCCATGTTGTTCATAGCTAGAAGACTGGCCTAATCCTGATCCATGTTGTCCATAACTGGAAGACTGACCTGAGCTAGTTCCATGTTTCCCAAAGCCAGAAGACTGACTTGAGCCAGACCTGTGTTGGCCATAGCCAGAGGATTGACCTGATCCAGACCCATGTTGTTCATAGCTAGAAGACTGGCCTAATCCTGATCCATGTTGGCCATAGCTAGAAGACTGACCTGAACCAGACCCATATTGACCATAGCTGGAAGACTGACCTGAGCTAGTTCCATGGTGTCCAAAGCTTGATGACTGCCCTGAATTAGAACTATGTTGTCCATAACTAGAGGATTGACCTAAGCCAGACCCATGTTGCCCAAAGCCAGAAGACTGACCTGAGCCAGATCTATGTTGTCCATATCCAGAGGATTGACCCGATCCAGACCCATGACGGCTATGGCTAGAAGATTGACTTGAGCTAAACTTATGTCTGCCATAGCCGGAGGATTGACCTGATTCACATCCATGTTTTTCATAGCTGGAAGACTGGCCTAATCCTGATCCATGTTGGCCATAGCTAGAAGATTGACCTGAGCTAGGTCCATGGTGTCCAAAGCTTGATGACTGCCCTGAATTAGAACTGTGTTGTCCATAACTAGAGGATTGACCTAAGCCAGATCCATGTTGCCCAAAGCCAGAAGACTGACCTGAGCCACAACTTTGTTGTCCGAAGCTAGAGGATTGACCTGAAATTGAACCATGTTTTTCATGGCTAGAAGATTGACCATAACTAGATTCATGTCCATAGCTTGATGGCTGACCTAAGCCAGATCCATGCTCTCCACAGCCAGAAGACTCTCTTGAGGTAGAGCCATGTTGTCCAAAGCCGGAAAATTTACCTGATCCACTTGAACTGTGTCCTTGCTTTTCACAGTTTCCTGGTTGAGATTCTGCATTTGATTCATGCCATCTCTGTTGAGAGTGATGATGTGAGCTAAACTCATGACCATGACCAGTAGGCTCATTTGAATCTGACCAGTGGTCTTGTCCTCCACAACTCCCAGTACTGAAAGACTGGTCGTCTGAGTTGCAAACATGCCCTTGTTTTCTACAACCACCTGACTGACTTGCTGAGTGTGATCTTCTATAGTTACTTGAATGAGTATAACCAACCTCTTCACTCCCAGACCTTTCTTGCTGATGAGAGCCATACTTATTTTTCTTACTGTCCTTGAAGTGGCCTGAGCTTGACTCTCTCCATCTTTCTCCAGACCTTTGTCTGTGCCCCAAACTAGACAAACTTCCTTGACTGTCTCTTCTTCTGGAGCTGGATTGAGGCCTGTGTTTAACGCTTCCCTTGGAGCCCCTGGAAGAGGAATCATTCTCTCCTGTACTCCAACTTGAATGTCTGGAGGACGATTTTTGCCTGTCGTTCTTCTCTTCTGTTTTACTATGTTCCTCTTGGTGCTGGCGACTGTGATCTCTTTGTTTTGACCCTGAAGCTTGGCAGTAATCTTTGCCAATGATTTTATTACAAGCCTGAGCCAGCTGGAATACCATCAGAAGATACTCAGTAAAATCCACTTTGTTGTTTTGGTCTCGATCCAGACTTTGCATGATGATATTTACAGTGTTTGGATCATCTGGATTCTGTATAGGAACAAGGTACAAAGGGCAGCTTTGTTAGTATGGACCACATGCCCAGCTAACCGACTGAAGAAAGGCTGTAGAAATGTGAATGGTTGGCTAACAGAGGTGGAGTTTAACCACATAGTCTTTTAGGCTAGACTGCACTGTCCTGAGCACAAGAAGAGAAGGGGATATGCAACGAATAATGCAGTGAAAAATAACTAGAAGTGTATGCAGCTGGAAGATTAATTTTTGTAAGGAATGGGTCAAATATGAATGATTAGCTAATTTATAAATAATAATTTTGGATACCTATATCAATTATATATGACTATTCTTTGTCCAGCTTAATTCATTAACTCATTAATTCATATACTCATTCAACAAAGATTTATTTTGCACCTACTACCTGGCTTGCATTGAGTTAGGTGCAGTGAATGTTTGGTTCTTGACAAAATGGAACGTAAAGTTTAGTGGGCCAGAAACACAAACTTAAAATTACAATTTATTGTGATAATGTTCCTATGGGATTACACCAGAGGGGAGCCACTGGCAGTTCAAAGAAGGTTAATGAGAGGAAATGATGTCTTTTGAAGGATGGGTTAGACCCAGACAGAGGGCGCAATATAAACAAAGAGCTGAAGGTGAGAGAAGACATGGTTCATATACAAGGAACTGAAAGAAATTCAGATTGCTAAAGTTAGAGCCTCAGCAGTCAAGAGATGTGGCTAGAGAGAGAAATATGGAGCAGATCATGCCTTTTAAGTCATGTCAAGTAACTTTGTATTTTAAGAACTGGGAACTGTTGAAGGATTTTGAACTGAGTGTTAAATGGTTAGATTTGTATGTACTGCCGAGATTGGAAGTAAGAAGTGGCTTGAGCCAGAGGACAGCAATATTGATGGGTAGAAATGGGCTGTTTTGAGAGACTATTGATGAATTTGATGGAGATTGGAGGGTCGAGGAGCATGCTGAGAGAGGAAGTTAAGAATGGCAACAGATTTTGGGCACACAGGAGGAGAGTTTAGTTTTGTATCTGACACACCAAATTTAAGACATTGATAGGAATCCAAATAAAAATAATTTAGTATGCAGCTGGATTTAATGAGTTGAAGATCAAGAGTTAGATCTAAGTTCCCAAATATTTCTTTCCAGAACTGACATTTTAAGGTGGTGGTCACCCCCTTTCACGATTTAGGAATAATACTAATTTCCTGAACTCAGCGGCTTTGTAGTTCTAGAATCTCAGAAATGGGCAGTGGTCAGGGATGTTTTGGGCTGAAGAAAGACAAAGAAAGGGAAGAAGATGCATTTTACCTACTTTTCAGTTTTTCTGAGGACCATCTCATTGCTGTTCCAGAAGAATTACTCACATAGGATGTTATTTAATCTATGGGTTTTTGTCTATATATATATTTTTGATCACTTCTCTTGGTCACGTTATAGAAACCATTATGAGTCAACTTTTGACCTTATTTCAAGCCTTTACCAAACCCTGTTCTCTATTACCAAGTAGGGAAAGTCCTCTAAGAGTTTGACATGTGACAAAAGGTAGACAGGTAGAAGGGAATTGTAGTTGCTTTCAGTCCTGATGTGGAGTTCTTACCTTCATGATTTGCTGGAATTCATTTTCTAAAAATTCTTTCATTTTTGCCTTGTTCAATGTGTCACACTCCTCATCCTTGGTGGCATATTGGTAGAAAACTTCGATGACAGTGACGATGCTTTGTAGGAATTTAGGCATCTTTTTGTAGATTTAATTAACCTAAAAGGGGGAAAAAAAAGAGAGACCCACCTCTTATTGTTCCTTTTTCTTGCTTAAATACATAAGTAGTTTCAATTATTTGTGAAAATGGTTCAGAATTAATGAGGGATGATTAATTTAACTCTGTTGTAATCAAGAGCCAATCCAGAGTTGAAAGACTTGTTCAGGTCATATAGCAAGAAAGTGATGAAATTAGGAACAGAAACTATATATAATATTTCCATTCTGAGTGAATATAGGAGCAATGGCTTTTTTTTTTTTTTTTTTTGGTCTCTCTGCCTCTACCAGGGATAATTTTATGAGCTTTGTTCTGGAGCTGTAGAAATCCATCTATTTCCTCAGTTCCTTTCTAGGTCTCAACCATCACACAAGGGAGGGACAAGTCTATTATGTACATGGCATGCCTGACTCCAACTAAGGGGTGCCAGTGTCTTAACTAAGCCCTCAAGACTTCTAGGCCAGAGAAAGTGAACAAAGTGGGCAAAGACGACAACAACAGGCCTAGGTGACATGGAGCCGGGGCCGCTGCTATCAGGCTCGGCTTCAGTTTTCATTCCCCAAGGGGTGATTAACCCTCAGGCTTTAGTGATTAGACAGCAGAGAGAAAAAGCTCAGAAGTAAAGTAGGCAACCTGCCTACTGGATAATATGAGCCTATGATCTTTAAGGAAATGACCCCAAAGAAAGGAGGTACTATCAGTCCCAGTTATCTCTTCATTTTTCTTCTCAATAAAGTTAAACTTATATCAAAGTCCTCCAAAGTCTATTAGAAAGAAGCCTGGTATCCATCCAGTGCCTTTTTGTGTTAGAGCACATCCCAGATTCTCATAACTTACAGCTCTGAATACTCTTGCTCACTTACCTAGCTCACTGGAGGAACAAGCAGGATGGAGGCTGAAGCAGCTTACAGGGTGCTGCTAGCTGGGCATAGTGGCCTTTTTATAGAGGCAATCACGGTCCATCTCAGGGAGGAGCTGCTTGCTTTGAGATGCCCTAATTTACT